TCAGGAGGCTGAGGCAGGAGAATTGCCTGAACCCAGGAGGCGGAGGTTGCGGTGAGCTGAGATTGTGCCATTGCACTCCAGCCTGGGTAACAAGAGTGAAACTCCGTCTCAAAAAAAATAAAACAAAGTTTTCAGAAGGGACTGATTTGCTTTTAACGAAAGTAAAAAGTGTTAGGTTGTAAAGGGATGGCAAGGGGTAAAGAAAGACATACATATACAGAAAGAGGGTGGCTTGACAGAAAATGCAGTATTTATGTCCAGCATAAAACCAGTGGTTCTGGCCCTTGTTCTGGTGGGATGTCATTGTGTTGTTCCTTGAACCTTTGCCCAGCAAGATATAATCGGGAAGTTTCTTTAGTTGGGCCTTGTCTGCCTTGTGGTCAGGTGGTTAGGCAGGATCTGTTTCGTGGCCCAAATCCCTTTGAAATGTTTCACTCTGACCAAGATCTGCGAAATAGCAGTGAGCTTACAAAAGAGTGCAGTTTAGACTAATAACAAGAAATATTACTTCTAATTTTATAACCAGTTGCTTTTAAAAACTTCTCAAATAGTATCTCAGAAATTCAACTAATATATTACATGTCATTGCTTTCACCTTTTTCTCTCCTTGTAAAGGCCCTGAATGATTACTCCCTCCTTCAGCTTTTTGATCAGCTCCTGTAAGTTTTTTCCTACAGTTCTAACTATTATTGTGTCTCAATGCTAAATTGTTTCATCACAAAAGTCTAGAAAAGTCATGTTTTACTCCAGTAAAACCTAATTACATACGTTTGGTTTTTCTGGATATATCTAACCTTTCAATTTAAACAGAAAACTTCTCATGCAGTTACTAAGAATTATGTATCCTGTTTTACTTCTACCATTGAGCACACTCTTTTTGGTCTGATTAAATTCAAGCACTTTTTCATGAGGTTTGACTTTTGGCTTACCTAAATGGGCATCCTGTAACAAGAAACAGTCACACAGAAAGTTTTACTTTGCCTTTCTGGTAACAGGCGTCAGAAACTATTTTTTTGTTTTGTTTTGTTTTATCAAAATTATTTCTTTACTGTTTTTACTAGGTTTTTAATTGCTTTAAAAAAACTAAGATCTAAAAGGGTTAAGAGTTTCATATTCATGTAAATGTCTTTATTGCCTTTAAAGTCTTTTGATTATCACTTTTGTTAAATGAGTAACCACTGTTTTACAATGACCTGTGGTTTGGTTGTAATCAAATGTTTTGAAACTTTCAACATCTCTCCAACATCTCTATCAAATGTTTGCAAAGTCAAATCCTAAATTTATTTTCTAACTTATTGCTGTGGGTTTTCAAGGCTTTAAAAATTAATCATCTGGATTTTGGCACCAAGATGGCTGAGAGGAGGCAAAACTGGAATGCAGCTCCCAGCAAATAAGACAAAGAGGGCTAGAGGACTTCACAATTTCAAGCGAGTGGAAATTTCAGTTTCGATGGAACTGGTAGGACTCTGAAAATAGCCCAGGAAAGGAGCCAAAGCAGGGCAGGAGCCACCCAGCAAGGGTGAACCGAGACAGGGTGGGACACATCCCCCCTTAGAACACGCAGCCAGCTTGGAGGGTTGGAGACTTCACCCCCTCTGTGCTCCGATTCGGATCCTGTGCTTACCTCATCCCTCCTGCAACCCACAGTCCGTGAGAGCCCTGCCAGACTGAAGGGCACAGTGGGTTGTCAATGCAAATCTGAGCAACAGCTCCCATCTGGTACCACAAGTTGTTGGTAAAGGCCTGGGAGGATGTTTGGACTAATGCCAGTGGGACAGAACAACCCATCCCACAGAAAGAGGCAGAGTTGAAAGCAGGGAAACAGGCCATAAGGCCTGGCAGATCCCACCCCCACAACACTCAAACTGAAGCCCGCATGCTAGAGAGTTAATACTACCACACAGCCACTTTGGCCTCCTCATGCTTCTGTTTCAACAGGCTAAGAAGGGAGTTGCAATATTGTTGTTGTAATTCATCCAAACTACCAGTGGGGAATTGTATTATACTCCACAACGGAGTTAAGAAAGATTATGTCAGGCCAGGCGCAGTGGCTCATGCCTGTAATCCCAGCACTTTGGGAGGCCGAGGCAGGTCGATCACGAGGTCAAGAGATCGTAGACCATCCTGGTCAACATGGTGAAACCCCATCTCTAATAAAAAATACAAAAAATTAGCTGGGCATGGTGGCACATGCCTGTAATCCCAGCTACTCAGGAGGCTGAGACAGGAGAATTGCCTGAACCCAGGAGGCGGAGGTTGCGTTGAGCAGAGATCATGCCATTGCGCTCCAGCCTGGGTAACAAGAGTGAAACTCCGTCTCAAAAAAAAAAAAAAAAAAAAAGATTATGTCTAGAATATAGGAAATCCCCTAGCATCTGCTTTGGTTGGTATATTTGTCTACTACCAAATCAATTTTAAAAATTAATCCTCAGTTTGGCAGTATAAAGAGGCAGAACCTTTAAGAGACGATTGGATCAATCATGAATGCTCTGCCATTATATATGGATTCATCTCAGACAGATTAGGAATGGGATTCAGTTCCTGACCCCATGCCCCACCATGGAACTCTACTGCAAACTGGTGGTGGGGGGCATGGCTTGTGGTGATCCTAACTAGACTATACAGGCCTTGCACCATAAATATTGCTCAAGGGGCCATAATCACTGATTGTGGGACATTGAGGAAGTGAAAATATGCTGTTCTTACCATAAATATTACTAAATTCTAGCAAAACCATCATTCATGGACTAAAAGAATGCTTATGAACTGTCATAGTATTGCGCACCACATTCCTTCTGATCAAGGAACTTACTTCAAACTCAAAGAAATGTGGCAATGAGCTTATGCTCATAGACTTCACTGTTATTACCCTGTTCCTCATAACCCTAACACAATTGGCTTCACTGACTGATGGAATGACCCAGATAGGTCACAGTACAGAAGTAGGACAAGGTTCCACAAAAGGCATTATATACTCTAAACTGTCATCCAATATATAATACTGTTTTTCCCATAGCCAGATACACAGGTCCACAAAACAAAATGTGGAAATGGGAATGACACCACTCACCATTACCTTTTCTGACCCGCTAGCAAAATGTGTGCCATCTGTTCTCATAACTTCATGCTCTGTTGGCCTATAAGACTTAGTTCCAGAGGGAAGAATGTTGCCCCTAGGAGACACAACAATTATTCCATTAAACTGGATGTAAAGACTGCCTCCCAGCCACTGTGGGCTCCTCATGCTCCTGAATCAACAGGCTAAGAAGTGAATTAAGGTGTTGGCTAGGGTGATGGATCCAAACTACTAATGGGAAATGGAACTAATGCACCACAATGGAGATAAGGAATACAGGTGACCATTTAGGGCATCTCCGAGTAGTAACATGTCCTGTGATTAAGATCAATGGGAAGTTAGAGTGGCCCAATCTGTGTAGGACTATGAATGGCCTACACCCTTCAGAAATCAATGTTTACCTCACTCCACCTGAGGTGCCTTTGAAGGAAAAGTGACTACAGAATGAGAGTAGAAAGTAGCTATAAATACTAGCTACAATCATGTGACTGTTATAGAAATAAGGACTGTAACTGTCAGTGCTTCCTGATGATTTTGTTAAGAATACTTGTGTGTGTGTATACACACCATATATATTTGTTTTTGTTCCTCACTTACTACTTTATCATATAAAATATATTGACTTTGTATCAGTATTTAGGTATCATTAATTTCATGTAATACTATAGAGGTTATGAGATAATAGGAGGAGAATATATGTTACCAAACACTTTACTTCCTCTTAAGGTAAATGAATCAGTGGGTTTCCAAACGTATACAGGAAAGTTGTATCAGTTAGGTGGAACTATTATCTTCTTATTGTCCTTATTTGGAGATTAAGTATGTATTAAGGATATACATGTGACAGCCAAGTGATTAGGGGTAAACTTATGATGGTTAATTTAGGTACTCAGCTGACTAAATTAAACATTACATAGAGAACTGGCAAAGCCACAATTCTGGACATAAATGAGAATGTTTCCAGAAGATATTGGCACAAGATCCACTCTCCATGGGGACAGGCACCATCTAATCTCCTGGGGAATAAAATAGAATCAAAAGAAAAAAAAGGTTTTCCTCTCTAATTCCCCAGACCCTGACTTGGTGCCCACTTCTTCTAAGGAGGAAAAGGACTTTCTCCAAGCAGAAGGGGGGCAAATAATTAACGAGGGTTAGATCCGGCTGCCAGATGGAGAAGTAGCAATGCCATGGCTCTTAGGGGCCGTGGTCATACAGGCCATACATGAAACCACTCATTTAGGCCAAGAGTCACTTGAGAAGTTATTAGGCCAGTATTTTTACATCTCACGCTTATCAGCCCTATCCAAAACTGTAGCACAGCAATGCATTACATGTCGGCAGCACAACGTGAAGCAAAGTCCAACTATTTCCCTTGTCATTCAGGCTTATGGACCAGCTCTGTGTGAAGGTCTCCAGGTAGATTTCACTGAAATGCCCAAGTGTGGAGGACATAAGTATTTGTTTTTCCTGGTATGCACATACCCTGGGTGGGTAGAAGCCTTCCTGACTAGGGCTGAAAAGGCCCATAAAGTAAACCGTGTGCTTCTTCAAGGTCTCATCCCCGGGTTTAGACTGCCATTGTGCATCAGCTCAGACAACAGACTAGCGCTTTTGGCTATTTTGGTCCAAGAAACAGCAACGGCATTGGGTGTCACTTGGAAGCTGCACGCCGCCTATCAACCAGAGTTCTGGAAAGGTGGAGCAGATGAATCACACCATTAAAAGTAGCTTAGGGAAAAATGTGTCAGGAAACAGGATTAAAGTGGGTGCAGGCATGTCCCTTGGTGTTATTCAAGATTAGATGTACTCCCTGTAAGAAGACAGGATATCCCCCCATGAAGTCTTATATCATAGGCACTCTCCCATACTGTGGGCACTCATAGGAACTCCTTGGGAGTGAGGAAGAGATTGAGCTAGGACAACAGTTACAAGCTCTAGGAAAAATCACTCAGGATATTTCAACCTGGGTAAATGAAAGATGCCCTGTAAGCTTCTTCTCCCCAGTTTACGCTTTCTCGCCAGGTGATCACATGTGAATAAAGGACTGAAATGCAGTCCCTCTGAAGCCATGGTGGAAAGAACCCCAGACCGTGATTCTGACCACTCCCCACAGCCATAAAGGTAAAGGGAATCCCAGCCTGGATCCACCACAGCCACATAAAGCCTGCAGCAGCTGAAACTTGGGAAGCTAGACCAGACCCAATGACTTCAGAATCACTTAGAGAAAAACAACACCTCTTGCTCCAGCCACATGCCAGAGCTGGCTAGTACAGTACACGCATGGCCTAAGCATGAGGAAACTCTTTGTGGGACTTATTCTTCTTAAAATTTGAACTTATACAGTAAAGACATTAACTGATTTTGGAAAATGCTCTCAGCATGTGCACCAGGTTACTGAGGTAAGATGGAAAGTTACTGCCATTCTTTTGTCCTACAGTTATTATAAATGTACAGGGACACAGAAGGGAACCTGTTTATATAATAATACACAGTATAAGGTGTGTAACCCAGTGGATGGACAATCCAATGTCTGATACAATCCATCAGAACCCCCTATGCATACAACTTTTGAAATTAAACTCATAACAGGGCGATGGGACAGCCCTACTAAGTTAATAGCTAAAACAGAGCAAAAGGAAAGCCCAAAACAGGTCACCCTAAGGTTTGATGCCTATGCAGCCATCAATGCCTATCATTCCAGTGAGGAGGCCTGCAGTTCCCTTGGAGATGGGAACAAAGTTATACAAAAAAGCACATCTGCCAGAAAACCTACTGGTGCAGTGAATACACTTATTGGTCATGTGTCATCTGGGCCACTTGGAAAGATGATAAAAATAATCCTGTTCGCTTTGTAAAAGGGAGGGACACCATTCCATGGGGTAATGTCCCCTGTGTCTTGGGACACTGTAACCCAGTAGAACTAATAATCACAAACCCCCAAGACCCCAAATGGGCAAAAGGGGAGAGTGTAATGTTATGAATTAATGGAAAAGGACTTGATTCTAGAGTCAGTATTCAGATTCAGGGAAAAATCCAAAAGTGCTTGTCCCAGCCAGTGTACCAGACCTTCTATGATATGTTAAAAGAGCCAGTGCTGGAGCTTCTGAAAAAGGCAAAGAACTAATTCCTCCAACTTGCTGAAAATGTAGCCCATTCCCTAATGTCACTTCTTGCTATGTATGTGGATTTGCTAGTCGGGAGCTTGGTTCTTGAGATGCAAGTCCGCCAAGACTCCTTGCCAAATAAAAAGCCCTTTCCTTCACAAACCTGGTGTCCGAGAGGTTTTGTCTGCTGTGTGTCCTGCTACAACAGGACTCTGTGCAGATAACCCCCAGTACCAGCCCAGAGCCTAGTAGACTTACTGGGTGGCAATATCCAGAACAGAGATAACAATCACTACAGCTTGGTTCTCAGGAAGCCACTTCCCTAGGTGAAGGGGGAGAGTACTACATCAAGGGAACACCCTATGGGACAAAAGAATCTGAACAGCCTTGAGCCTTAGTCCTTTCCTCTGACAGAATCTACCCAAACAAGACGGAACCACAAAAGCAACTCTGGTAATATGACAAAACAAGGTTCTTTAACATCCCCCTAAAAAATCACACTAGCTCTCCAGCAATGGATCCAAACCAAGAAGAAATCCCTGATCTACCTGAAAAAGAATTCAGAAGATTAGTTATTAAGCTAATCAGGGAAGCACCAGAAAAAGGTGAAGCCCAATGAAAGGAAAGAGTAATAATAATAAAAAAGATATAAGAAGTGAAGGGAGAAATATTCAATGAAATAGACAGCATAAATAAAAACAAATCAAAACCAATGGACACACATAAATGTGATACACCACATAAACATAATCAAAAACAAAAATCACACGATCATCTCAATAGATGTAGAAAAAGTATTTGACAAATTCTAGCATCCCTTTGTGATTAAAACTCTCAGCAAAATTGGCATACAAGAGACATGCCTCAATGTAATAAAAGTCATCTACAACAAACCCACAGCCAAGATAATACTGAATGAAGAAAAGTTGAAAGCATTCCCTGTGAGAACGGGTGCAAGACAAGGTTTATGCTCACTCTCACCACTTCTCTTCAACACGGTACTGGAAGTCCCAGCCAGAGCAATCATCAAGAGAAATAAATAAAGGGCATCCAAATTGGAAAAGAGGAAGTCAAACTGTTTGCTGATGATATGATTGTTTACCTAAGAAAACACTAATGACTCCTCTAGAAAGCTCCTAGAACTGATAATTCAGTGAAGTATCCAGATACAAAATTAATGTACACAAATCAGTAGCTCTTCTATACACCAACAGTGACCAAGCTGAGAATAAAATCAAGAACTCAACTCCTTTTACAATAGCTGAAAAAAATTAAAATACTTAGGAATATACCTAAGGAGGTGAAAGACCTCCACAAGTACAACTACATAACACTGCTGAAATAAATCACAGACAACACAAACAAATGGAAACACATCCCATTCTCATTGACAGGTAGAATCAACACTGTGAAAAGGACCATACTGCCAAAAGCAATCTACAAATTCATCACAATTCCCATAAAAGTACCATGATCATTCTTCATGGAATCAGAAAAAACAATCCTAAAATTCATGTGGAACCAAATTAGAGCCTGCATAGTTAAAACAAGACTAAGCAAAAAGAACAAATGTGGAGGTATCACATTACCTGATTTCAAACTATACTATAAGGACATAGTTATTGAAACAGCATGGCACTGACATATAACCAGGCATGCAGATCAATAGAACAGAATAGAGGACCCAGAAATAAACCTAATACTTGGAGCCAACTGACCTTGGACAAAGCAAACAAAAACATAAAGTGGAGAAAGGACACCCTATTCAACAAACGGTGCTGGGATAATTGGCAAACCACATGTAGGAGAATTAAACTGGATCCTCATCTCTCACCTTATATAAAAATAAACTGAAGATGGATCACGGACTTAAATCTAAGACATGAAACTATAAAAATTCTAGACAATAACATTGGAAAAACCCCTCCAGACATTGGCTTAGGCAAGGATTTCTTGACAAAGAACTCAAAAGCAAATGCAATAAAAACAAAGA